TCACCCAACTAAGCCATGGATTTGATCACATCACAGAAGCTTTTGCCTCTGTTTTTGGGGACATTTGGGAGGAACATGTTAGGCTAATCACGTGTCTTTAACTCACACTTTTGGTTTCAGATTAGAGGTTTAATTTAATGCTAATCTCTCTTTGTTTTTTAGCCCTTTTTTTGGTTTTTTTAAATTGCCCTCTCTCTTTATAGTAGAAAACAGAACCCCATTTTTGGACCCAGCCCCCTAAGACAATGCCCTGCCACTGCCACTGCCACAAGCCACAAGCCACAAGCCACAAGGGGCTTGGCCTTCAGAGATTGAGGTTTCAGTTCATCCATGGCTGGAAAATTGGACCCACTTTTGTGCCTCTGTTTCCTACTGGGTTCCTTCTCAGTTACCTCCTGCCCCACCACTTTTGGAAAGTTACCACCTGGTTTACTGACAAATGAAAGCAAAATTATCTTGAATAATTGCACAGCAACAGCATCACTCAATTTTGAAACTGGTCTTTCTTTCTTCTAAGTCTATTCAATTTGAATTCTTCACACCTAACAAATAACAGAAGAAAGGGGCTGATGGTCCCACGATTGATAACTTTGTTGAAAGGCCCTTGAAAGTGAGAAAACATATGGAAGGCCCTTGAAAGTAATTGGGCATTTTGCCTTTTGTCCATTCCCATATCGGGACAAATCAGCCTAACTACTGCATCTTTTGGACGAGATATTTGTGTTTGGATCCTCAAACCCAATGTTTATGTTAAGGGCAACAGAGTTGGTGAGGGCTTGAGATCTCTTGACCATATTGGTTTAGAGGTCTCAAGTTCGAGCCTGGTCAGCTTTAATACTAAAAACCTTTGATGAGATTTTGGAAACTCTTGGTTATACTAGTTTAAAGATCTCAAGTTCAAATCTTCTGGCGAGCTTAATACAAAAAATCTTTGATGTTCTCCGAGTTCATGCCTTGGGACAGGTGCCCCTAGGTACAAGGGAGCAAAGCTTCGACTCCCAATTCTCAAAAAAGAAAAAAAAAACAAAGATGCATTTACTTTGCTTCAACATTTATCTCATATGGGTTGTATCAAGGAGTATTTCATATTTCAAGATTATGTCTTTTCTCCTTCTACCTTATATAGGTTTTCATTTTTGGGCTTAGTTTAATCAAAGTGATTCATGTTAAACACACATCACATCTCATACAATAAAACAAATGTCTCAAGACATCTGAATTAAGTATAAATGGCTCAACTCAAGGCACCCATAAACTGTATTAATCCAGTTGTGGCTGCCCATATTTTTTACCTATAGTCCATGTGAGTTTAGCTTATAATGAGTCTTATTTTGTAACATTTAGTTATATGGATTTCTATAATCTATATTTAGATTGTGCAAACTGTAAAGGAATGAAATTTAAAACACAATATATGATTCACAGTTAGTGAGTAGATTAAAAATTTAGGTTCCTATACAAATAGTGGGATTGACAAATTTGTAATTTAGAATAAGTAAAAATGTATATGAGAGATGTAGATTTGGATTCTCAACTCAAGTCTATACAAAATTGATCTATGAGCTACACACTCTATGATTTTTTATTTAGATACAATAGCAGCTACTAAGGCAAAGGGAGAAGAAAAGTTTTAAGTTTCTTGTTTCTTTTTCTCATTTCTCACCATTTTTTCTATACCAAAGAAAACTCTCACCATTTTTTCTATACCAAAGAAAATTCAAGTTGAGCATGGCATAATTAAATTCTTTCCAAACTAAGATCGAAGAATGACAAAAAAGAACTTAATGTTTTCTTGAACAAAATTACATGTAGACGTTAGCTAAAAAAAATATGGGCAAGGCTCACAAATGGACTTTCATACACTCTTTGCTATGCTGTCCATGGTGTAATTAGAGTGAAAAACAAGGACTGGTATTGTTAATCTCACGCTCCATATTGGCATCGCCTTCAGCTTGTATGTCATGACTTCAAAACCAATCTGGAAGTGAAGTCAAACAGATGGGAAAAACTTGTTGAGATTGAAAGGAAGGGAATAGAATTCTTCGCTTCTCGTATCGGTCTTGAACGAGCGGAATCTGTCCCACCAATGCATTCCTCTGTCCTTTTTTGTTGCATTGTCCTTGCTGTGTAGCGTGACATCAAGGAACAGAGCTAGAAATCCAGCAACAAATGGCTCGGATGCGAAAGGCACGTTGATCATGTCGTTGAACTGAAACAAGGAGATCAAAACTAACTCTGAAACCATTTTGTATACATGACTAAATGACATTATTATCAAATGGTTTTTTTTTATTGATGCCGAAGTGAAAGAGGTCAGGCGGATTCATACCCATCTTGCTCTCGTGTGGACTGGACCGTAACCATTAAGGGTGGTGTACTCATTGAAGTACTGAGGAATTGATAGTCCCATGAAAATAGAGAAGCCTAATATGAATTTTGTCCTAAAACTATTGAGATTGCAAAACTGAAGGAAGCTGAGGCCTGCTGAACCTGCTCTTGCACCAATGAAACAAACCAGATCAAGTTAACCGTTTTGATTCGGAGTACAGTAGAGAAACTTTCTAGGAACTTCACAAAACGTACCAACATAGGCAAAGAAAAAGCAATATAGAGCTGCAATAATTGGTGCAGGGATCGAAGCGAAGATGGCTCCAAATTTTCCTGAATATGCATCCGCATCCTGTTGTTAATGCATATTAATAGAAACAAAATAATGACAATGATGATGAATGGAACTTTCTTACCCAGGATTGAAAAGAATAGCATAAATCCAGCAGATATTTGGACCACTCTCCGGCTACCAACGCGTGTTAATGCTAACAAACCGGCATTCTCACTGCAAGGAGAAATTAGGAGATGGCTTTATCATGTTTGAAAAGAAAAACAGAGAGACCGATGAATGAAGTCTCTTAGTTTTAGTAATAGGAGAGATCTTACATCGACACCGACGACCCATTCCCAGTGCCAAATATACCAGAGAACAGAATGGCCACTCCCTAAGATAATGAGAAGAAAGAAAAACAATAAGAAAAATTATCAAGGACTTGTATCATGTGGTTGTTTTGCACATTTTCTCTTGTATATGCAGTGACTTTATATACCTGCCAACCGACACCACGGCTAAGAACAGATGGTGGGAGTGGAGTTGCACTTGCATATCTAGACACAGCAAAGAAGGCACCAGTGGACTGTCACACCCGAAAAACATTATACCGAAAGTAAGTTATGATGTTAAAGCTTCCAACAAATATATGTTCATAAGCTCTCACAAATAATGGACAACCTCCACCAGCGCAACAAATGAAGCAGCCATCATCGCAAAAGCTTCTCCTGCATCGAATGTGGGTGCTCCCCATTGAAAGGGATACGGAATACTAATCCTATAAACAGTTCGAGATTCAGTCAGGCGATGTGTTCATATATATACCAACAGTTAATATGCATTCCCAACCCACTATATAAAGAACTTCAAAATGACAATATAAAGTGACTTGACTTGGGAGAGAGATTTTAGTCTTACCATGGAGAACCGCCTATGATTCCTGCACGGTCAGTACGACAGCTCAGTTGAGTCTTTAGACTAACATTCTTATATGCACCGCCCACGGTGAGTAGATGGGCGTATACCCAAACAATCACAACTGAAAAAATAACAGCAAAACGATCGAATACATGTCGTTCGCCATGTATCATATGAGGTATATACTGCAAAACAATTTAGACGGTACTTTTAATAAGATCAAAATTTTATCTTGGACAAGGTCAATAATGACATTGCTCAAAGATCCTTCAGTAATAATGGATTCTAAGATTGGATAATACCTGTGAAAATACCACTAGCAAAATGAGCTGTGGAAGCCCAATCTCCACACATTTTGATAGCTGCAAAACAAACGAGAAAATGATGTAAGAAAGAGATTATAAAGAGAGATTTAAGAGAATGTATTATATATTTCCTCAGTTCCCTTCAAACTGTTACAAAATACATACCACTGGGAAACCCAATTCATACAACCCAAATCCTGACAAGGCTACCAAAGGAACAGTAGAGAGTGGACTCAAAAACCTGGACAAGTACAAAAGATTATGATTTTGAATTAGAAGAGCTGAAGAAGGTAACAATCGTTAGAGAATTTCAAAACCAAGTCTTCATTGGATTAGAAGCTCTCTGTCAAAAATCCACTGAAACTAATTACATAAGGATTTGCACCAGAAAAGCTTGATAGAAGTAGAACCAAGCTAAAATGAAACCTTGCAACGTTTCGCCAAAGGCCACTAAAGCCAACAACAATCTGAAGAGTTGAGGCAACAATAAGGGCACCCTGAATTCCACGCATAATTCTCTCGAATTTCTGATATTACGGATCGTGTTAAATAAAGTTATGGTCAGCTCAAGTTAAATAAGGACCATGAGAGTAAGATTTTCGCATATGGTATCACAATAAAGTTACCTCCTGGGGATTCACAATATCACTATATCGACCCGCCAAAATAATTGAAATTGTTGTTGGCACATAGGCATAAGATGCTCCTATTACTGCAGGTAAACGAGTACCGAAAAAAGTTTGCAGAAACGTGTTCAAACCAGCGACAAACAGTAGTGTTTGGATCATCTTTGCTTTCTCCTCCTGAAATGAAAATTTGTGCCAATTTGAGTAGTAATAGAATTGAGATCCACAAGTAACATTTATCAAGAAACAAGAAATACTTCAAATATTGATCGCAATTGTAAAGCTTACATTTCCTCCTCCCATCTGGGGAACTAGAGAGGTTGGAATTAGCACTGTTGTTCCCAGCATAACCAAGTAATGCTGGAAACCAAGTAGAATTGCTTCGGCTGCATTTCAAATTTAAAATAATTACATTCAACAACTGTAAAATCTTTTTTTTTTTTTTTTTTTTTTACAGTTTATGTTAGTTGTTGATGATCTTGTAGTTCATTGGGAACGATTAGCTGTTTCCTCCTTTATATGCAATCAAAATAAGAGAAACAAAAAACAAGGAAACATGAAAGCAAACATCAGAGTTGAAATTTGAAGTGGGTTTTGAATACCAAAACCTGATTAAAAACTAATTTGTTTAGCTTTTAAAATTTAGCTTAGATTTTGAAAGCATTTGTAACCATGGTTATTAAACAAAGCCTAAATATTCATAAAATCAGTTATGTATTTAACAATGAGGAATGGGAAATGATAACTTAACGAAAATAGTGTATATAAGCCAAATTTTAAAAAACAAAAGGGTTATCAACAGAGGCTAAATACTCATAAAGCCAATTATGAATTTAACAATGAGGAATGGGAAATAAAAACTTAAGGAACTTACGCCATGGAGGGGGACTGGTAATGCAGTAAGAAATATTTGGTAGCTGATCTTTTACTGGATGTGGCTGCAGCTCCTCCTGTTTCGGCGGTGGCGCAGATGTTCCACCTCCTGCCATGCTTCTTTGTCTTTTCCTTCCCCTCTTCCAAATAATCTACTACTTTTATGCTGAGTGTTGTCTTATAATGTTATGAAAAAACCCACCCAAGAAGCAAAAATATAAGGCAAAAACCAAGAAGTCAAAATCCCAAACAAAAGCTATGCCTTTACCCCACACGTAAACCAAGAAATGGAACAACAAAATCAAATAGAGGCCAAATTTTCACAAGGCAAGAATTGGAGAGAAGGAACTTGGAAGAAACTTGGGAGTGTGAAAAATGGGAAAAAACGAGTTTTGACAGCACAATACCCAACATAAAGGTGAGTTAAGGATGTGAAAAGAAGGAAAAAGAGTGATACCTCTCTTGGAGCAAGAAAGAAACCAGCACACCTCTCTGTAACCTAAAGCCAAAAAAGCATCTCCTAGTTCGTTATTTTATTGTCAGTCTTCCTACTTTTCTTCAATCACGTAAAGATAAAGTTTTTGTATCAATTAAAAGTTTTCTCCACCATCTCCTCTGCGAATCTCTGCAATTAGTTTATGCAATTACCATTACTTGCAGAAGGAAAAACAACTTATTCCATTCTTCTCCAAACTGAAACCCCATGGCTACCATTTCATTTTCATTAACTCATTGACGCAAAAACACAAACAACTGATGACCATAGATTCATAAAACAGCAAAAACTGGATTACTAGAACAATAAGGCAAATTCAGAGTTCAGACCCAAGTATAAGACTCTTACTGATCACCCATTGAAGTATCCATGTCTGATACGTGAAATCTCACAGAAAACAAGCAACAAGAATCATGAACCCATCATCACCCTTGAAATCTCACCCTTGAGAGCTCTTTTACTTAATGTGATTGGGGAAGACGTTTTTTTTTTTCTCCCAAGAGCTGTCAACTATGGACAAGTCCTCTTGTTTCAGAGAATTGCTTGAGCGACTAAGATTGCAGCAGATCAGAGGGAATTCTGGTTTGCCTTCACCAATTACAATAAGCCATCATCATGACACAAATTCAAATTCACACGTAAAGTTTGCAGTAACACACCCACCAAGAGCAGCTACTCTGGAAATTTGCAGATTAGCTTCGTTCAGACGAAGATGAGCTTCGTTACTCTAGAATTATAAAATGAAGTGAGATACATCCACATTTAGGTTGGTTTAAAGTAATTTTTATTCGATTCTGTACAGAATAATCAACAGGCTGAGATATAATTTTGAGATAAAATCCGGCTAATGACTCACAAGGATCAGGATCAAATTCCTTATTTAGTCAGTGATGTCAACTTTTAACAAAGAATACGATTCCATTAGAGAATGCCGCCCGTCCATCAATGGAAAATCAATAATTCAAGTGCCTACAAAATTTTCCACCCTTAATATTACGGTTGCTCCGTGGGGTTTTTATTTAATCAAGTCGTTAATTTTGAGAGCCAAAATTTTACAATTTTCACCCCAAAATTCTTTGTTTAAAAAGGAAAAAGAAAAACCCATGATTATTTGTACTGTACTTGAAATTTGAAAAGGAAGTCTTTGACCGTCCGAAAGGGCAGATAAAAGGTTACCATTTTATTCCCTGAACCAACGGGCAAAATATATTTCTTTCCAAACGTCACAGCATAAGGATTAAGAATTAGTTAGCCAATTTCAAAAGAGGAATAAAGAAACAACCCATGATGGGGCCATTAGGAAAAGCAATGGAACCAAAGAGAAAATAAATGGCATGAAAAAGAAAAATGCAGCGTTCTTTTGGCGCCATTCCAAGTACCCTATTGAAGCTTCCCATTTGCCCTCTTTCTCCTACCAAAAATAACCACAAGATCTACTAAACGTGTTCTACATTTCTTACAAGTACTTTTTAGGTCTTAACAATCGATAATCGAAAGACAAGCAGATAGCGAGATAATATAGGGGGCTTATCTTTGGCCCCAAAAAATATCAATGTTCAGCTGTTAGCCTTATGCCTGGCGCATCGACTATTTCAGAACCTGTCCTAGTTCTTTGACACTTGATACTTAACAGAGAAAAAGGTTGAGAGGTAAAACAAGAGAAACCAATGCTGGCAACTTTCCAAGTACCATCAGGATTAGTTGTTCCACATTATGATTGAAAAAGAGGTGGACAGTTATTACATCCAGTTTGCCCATTCCAAATTTGATACATTGCAGGAGAGCAAATCTGGGAAAGCTTTAAATATGGACTCCCAAAAAGCTTTGCCAGGGTGTGTCCAGTGCAATCCATAAGCAGGAGAAAATCAACAACCAGAAGTCCAATAAACATAAAAAGAAAATTTTGGCAACAGATTGGGTACCACTTAAACACTAAATCCCTTCATGATTGCTGACACTGAGATGACTCTAAAGAGATTATACCTTCCCCATCAGCAAAAGGCTCAGTACAGGCAAATTTGCCCGTCACTCAGTAACGAAGGATAGGGATGAATAATCATCACTGCCCACCGCCACGAACTTGCAACCGCTTCCTTTCCAGTTCAAGCTTTCAGGAAAAATTGGATGTGTAAAGAGATTTGTGGAAGGCATTTAAACAAAGAAGCAAAAAGCTAGTAAGCTAGTAAGCTAGTAATATCAATCAAACAACCGGAGGTTCTTACCACTTTCTTCACCCGCTCATTTGCAGCGGGGGTGCCTCCAGTAACGGATTCTGCTAGGTAGGGACTGCTAACACGTACTTCATTCATTACAACTATGACAGTCTTGTCCCAACGAACGGGAAGCCTAGAATTACACCATCAATCAGAATATCAAAACAATAATGCAGAGGCTGCCAAAAAAAAATAGCGACAACAGAAAATGATCGTGCAATAAAAAGTTTAATATAAATCCTATCATGCTTTTGTATCTCATTTATGTTGCATCTATAGTTTTGTATGTGCATGCTTCATAAAATCAGATCACTAGATGAGCATAGTTGCCTTTACAACCCCACCAGCTTTCCAAAACATTCTATAATTTTGAGACCCCATAACAATAGACAAAAGAGCAAATGCATCTAGTTTAGCCACATTAATAATAGTAAAATTCATCGAGTTGCGCATATAATTTACATATCATATTATGTATAGTGTAAATAAAACGATTTCACTATCAAAATGAAAAATGTTCTATCAACAAAGATTATAAAAGAAGGGAAGTTCTTGGTACTAACCAGGCCGGGCCGTGGAAATAAAAATGAAAACTTTGGTACTACTAACAACTTTATTACCTTCAATAGTTCGAAAAAAGACCAATATTGTAGTCAATTGTTTCATAGTTTCAATTAAAAATGTGAACTACATATAGTCTTAGTTAGTGTTATACCATCCAAAAACCAGTAAAACTTATAAAATGATTTCTTTAAAGATTCCCAGCAAATCATGGTTGATGGCACAAGCCGAATAAGTTTTGATTACCTAATTTTTTCTATTATCCCAACATCAATGAGATAAATGTGCAGGTGAAAATATTCATAATCACTAGCCCTGTTATCCAAAACCTTGGTTTCAGACCCCCTCATCCCCATAAATTAGACTGTTTTCTAATGCAACCAATAAATTTGAAGAGAGAGTAAATAAACTAATGCCCTAAACAAGCTCACCAATCCATCATATAAGATAAAGAAAAGGACTCATGACTTCTCTTCAAATGAAAACAATATATAGAAACGCGGCGTAAATGAAAAAATTACATAAACAAAGAAAACTAATAAAATTACCCCATGCTACAAAAAAAATGTGTGGAAATGGAGTACAAAAAAATCTTCAATAGACCTTCCAAATATTGTTACAACCAAAATAAAACTGAACTTACGTTTTAGATAAGGCGTCAAAAATACTTTGGGCCTCGCTGGTCACACCCACTCCTATCCTCTCCGCCTCTGCCTCTGCTTGCCTGTAAATTGCCCCACGACCGGAGCACCAAAAGAAAATGAGAACACATAAATCAATCAGAAGCTAGTAAAATACAAAAATTCAGAACTGATTATTGACATACCTAATGGCCAGTTCCTCTCGAGCACGGAGAGAATTGAGATCGAGGTAACACTTTTTGAGATCAAGAGGATCTTCGCCATGTCCCAAAAACGTAAACTCCTTTATATAATTGGCCTTCAGAAGCCTTATATTCCTATGAGGTCCCGGCTTTGAACCCTCCTGTGGCGGCAGCAAAAGAAAGAACAGAAAAGCAGTCAAGGAATTCAAGAAGAAGGGATTGAGATTCAGTTACGTGATTATATGAATTAGAAACCCAGAAAGGATATGAAGGACGAGGATGTTGGAGGGGCGGTCAAAGGTAATGACTTGTCCTTGAAATTCATCGCCTAAGGTCGTCTTAATGGAGAAGAAGGACCCAACTGCGAAGTCATCCCCATTGCCGCTACCATCCAGTGCCATTATCGCCTTCTTCTTCTCTATCAAAAATTGGAACCGTGCTTCCTCCTCCTGAAGGAGTTGGGTAACCACTGTAATTTCCTAATCCCATATAAATTAGGGCTTCTTTTCAACAATGGTTCTAAATTAGAATTATTAACATAAATAATCCTAACTCTCCCATTAATTAATCATATGAATTTAAAATGGGAAGAGACTACTTTAATTTTTTTTTTTAAAGGACTGTACTTTAATAATTACAAAAATAGATTAAAAAATAAAAGGTCATCTAAATTAAAAGTTCTTTTTTTATTATTATTATTATTATTATTATTATTATTATTATTATTATTTTGAGTTCTAAGAGATTTCGAGACACACAGTTGACAAATGGGTCCAAAGAAGTCTGACCAAAGTGAGACTAAATCAAGTAAAAAGTATTACTAGTTTGCTTCAATAAGTATTTAAATCAAGTTACGTTGACCTGAGCTAAACTAAAGTGAGTTTACATCGTCGTCCTATTGATCCTCACGAATCCGCTATGGAGTTTGGCATCATCAATTGAATAAATGTTGTGAAACTTTAAAAATCTATCTTTACAACCAACAATGGAAATTCTTATCTCGACCTACTTTACTCTTACATGACGCGGTGTGGGACTCAGAGATATTTTAGTGCTCCTAACAAAATCATTTAATAATTTCATATATCATTAATAGCCATATTTGATGTTTAAGCCATACATTTTTTTACATAACCTCAGTGTAATTAGCATGGTCATGTCCAAATTTTCATTCAGTATTTCTTAACTAGAAAAATAAATAAGATTTTTTTTCATTTTTATCCTAAATTTTATAATCTAATCTTTAGGGTAAAAGGTTTGAATGATCTTGGTTTAAGTAGGCTAAATTTAAAAAATCTGTATTTGGAGTGTAGTTTAGGAAGTCTATATTTAGAGTGCACTTTAAGAAGTTTGGGTGTGTGAGATGTTTAATTATATTAAATCAAATTTTCATTTAGACCTTTTTCTAATTAGTTACTTTTGTTATTTTAATATAGTTATGGTAACAATAAAATATTGTTATTTTAGTTGGATTAACATAAAAATAAAATATATTTTTCTAGATTATTTTAAAATCGTAAGTTTATATTTTAATATGACTAAATTTTAAAGGTGTATATCATACGTATATTTTTATTATTTTGAAGGTGGTTAATTCGACCGTCTAATATCTTTTTTACGTGGCCAATTTAGAATTTAAGACTATTTATTTTACTAATTTTATTTTTGTAAGTTTGAAGTAAAATATGTTTTTTACTTCAAATATGAAATAATTTTTTAATGTTAATTGTTAATTCAAAATTAAATAATGCTTTTTTATTTTATTTTAATACTAGTAAGTCTAAAACATATTTTGACTCTCTTAATAAAATTATATATGTTTTGAACCATTTTTAATTAAATATAAATAAATGAAAGTTCATAAGCAATATAGTTCATATTACAAATTTAGTTATTGAATTAATATTATTCAAATCAAAGTCAAAATCCCAAATTTAAAATAATATAAACTTAAAATCTTATGATTTTACAAAATATACGATAATGTTTAGTTTAGAAAAGATTTGTATTACAATTTTGATTTTGATTTAAAAAAAAAATTACAATGTTAATTTTAACAATCATAACATCTAAAATATTTGTATATCATCTATATTTAAAAATATAATTAAAATAAAAGTGAGAACGTATTTAATTTTTATAAAATTAGTAGTAAGAAAAAAAATTAGTGGAGGACTGCGGTCGAAATCAAAATGTGTGAAAGAGAAGGAAGAGAGAGAAATGAGTTTTGAATCTTTGATCCTTATTAGGTTGGGCTCCTAAATATTGGGCTTATAAAATTGGACTATTTTCTTAAGCAGAAGCCCAAAGTTTGAAACTCAAGAGCTTGGGCCTCTTTATGTCTCCGGGACCAGATTGCGGAATGTTTCTCAGTTCGTAGTGATCAGTTGCTTTCGGATAGGTGTGAGCGCTACGTGTCAATAATGGTGCCATATTTTCAAACGCCCATGCCCAATTTTAAAATTTCTTAATAACTTACCAAATTTGTCTAATCTTTTTACATTCTTTTCACTTGTAACATTAAGAGAGGGAGAGTAGTAAGATGAGGTTAGTTGGTTGAGTTCTAGTTGTCAACACATTAGTCCTTACCTTATTATTTTTTTTACTAGAAACATGGTTATATTTATTGTTAGAATATTAATATACAAAACACCTGTTTGGTAACGTTTCGGTTTCTTATTTTTTATAAAGAAAAATATTTTGTATTGTCTCAACATCCATGAATTCAATGATGATCAAACAACGTTTATATTTATGTTTTGCAATAAATTGAAAACCAAATCAATAAATAAGGAACTTGTTTCGATTGTCTCCAAAATTCATCTAATATTTTGAGAATGTTGTCAAAAAGTAGAAACGAAAAACATGATTAGTTGCAAAATACTTAGGCTTCTTAATAAAATTTGAAAACGAGAAACGAAAAACAAGATAAAAAATGTTACCAAACATACCATAAATTATCCAGAGATCATCAATTCAAACTTCTGAATTCGACATTGATTTAGAGCGGACAATGACCCACATTCCAACAAAACCAAATTGCAATCATATTGCTCCCTTCCTTATCTTCCTTCCCCTTAGCTCTACCCCTGTTCAACATGAATTTATTGAAAATTTTGGATCCAACCTAAGCTAAATGGTGACAACAAACCATATAAATTAATATTATATATATTATATGCTCATCCCTCCTCCTGTCATCAAATCAAAATTGAATTTAAAAAAAAAAGAAACGCATCTCTTCAGCCACATGCGAGTTCTGACAAAACCATTTAAACAAAACAAAAGCCCAGCCAACCATGTGACTATCAGACAACCATTTTTTATTAAATACCAAGTACACGACATTCTAATTAAGCCATATATCAACGTCATCGAAGCCTATGTCCTAGTAAAAATTTAATTGAACTGTGTTTAGCAATGAATTTCTTATTAATGCATACACATTGGGAATTAAAATGGCTTATTTATGCCATAAATACAGTTTATTATTCTACTGTTTGAGACCACAACATTAAACGTACGGTTTGAAATATCGTGACCTTAATAATTGAACTTAATGCATTGTATTTAGGCTTTCAAATCAATTACTGTAGATGAAAAGTAATTCATAGTTATCCATTATACTTGATCAAATCCTTTCCATCAGCA